AGGAATAATGGCTATGGACACAGGAAAAAAAAAATTCAATGTCTGAATAGTGGAGAGAAAATGAAAAATAATTGCTTAGTCACCTTATTTGCCTAATAAATGTTTCTGCCAGATCAAGAAGTATACTTTGGCTTTAATAACTAAAAAAAGAAAGTGATGAGATTCCAAAAAACACATATGTGACATATATTAACATATTTACATTCAAAGAAGTATCAAGAAAAAATGTCATTATACAAATACAATATTAATAAATGCACATCACTATTACTCTTCCATAGTCTTTACACATCAGAGATTTACATCCAAGGATATTTAAGGACCTTGTTCTCCTCCTTGCACCTTCCAGCCATTCACCTGCTGCTCACGTGGCTTCCACCGGGACGTCGATCTCATTTCACACTCTCCGAGATTTTCTTTCTTTCTTTCTTTTCTTGTTTTTGATTATCATAAATTTGCTATGTATCTTTAGGTCTTAAAAACTGAACTTTCAGATTCATGTTATACATTATGCACCCTTCACTGAGTGACATACCTTTCATAAAGTTAAAACATATTCTATTTCTTCCTTCTTTTTGAAACAGAAATCAAGTAATGATTTCATTATACTTTCTTTCATTTTAGAGGCCACTTAACAAAGGAGAGAAAAAGAGCCATCTTCAAAAGAAATTAAACACCATAAACAAAGTTGCCATGGATCTACTGCACATACCTATCCTGAAGACAGTTTTAACATGCTATATTTACACATACTTATGTCTTGAGAAAGTGAGGCAATATTAACCATGGGGAAAAAAAAATTATTATATGAAAGTTACAAAATTACAATTTACGACACAACAAGAAATCTCAGAGATGTAATATGTATATGACGTGTATCATATTAATGTTGAAACTAACTATTACACACATCCAATTTCCAAAACTATTACAAGCAGCATTTTTGAAGTTTCAGTATATTGTCCCTGTTGAATGCCCTTCATGTGTTACTTGGATGTGTTAATGGCTTCATAAGTACATCACATAATCAATCAAATATACAATATAAATACTTTCAATAAGTGACCTCTGAAATATGCTTAGCTTACTGTAGTATATCTTTCTTTTTTGCCCTATTTTCTTTGCCACTGCTGATACAAAAATGCCAGTAAAATCATGAGTAATTACATCATCTCTGGTTCTTCACTTTTGATATGACTGCATTTCCCTTCTTGGTTTATTTTCCGAGAACACGTCCTATGGTCAATCACGAGAGAAAGGGCCACGCAATCTTGGCATCAATCCGTTTGAAGGCGAAAGTACAGTGAAAGCCATGTGTGGTCAGATCCGACTTCACCTTGTGTGGACATTCATTGTCAGCCAGCAAACTCTCTGTAACAAGGTAAACAATTGTAAATAATATGTTGAAAGTTCTGAAAATTACTTTTAGTGTCAACCAGGCAACCCAATTTTGCCTTTCAATTAAATCAAACATAAATTCTCTCTCCTTAACTATCCATTACAAATAAATGTAGAATAAAAAGTAGAATCTGATATGCTAACCCATAATATTTCCTGCCACTAATAATAATATTTCATATATAATAATATTTACTTACTTTTTACATGATCAAATTTTCACACACACACACACACACACACACACACACACACACACACACACACACACACACACACACACACACACACACACACACACACACACACACAAAGAAAAAGAAAAAGAAAAAAAAAAACCCTAAACTTACCTAATCCATCTACCAGTTTATAAAGGCCATAGTCTTGTGGATTTGTGACTCGCAGCTTGTGTGCCATCATCTTGCACACTTCACGTGTAGTTGTACCCGGGCGTATGGGCAACGTGCGGGTTACTATACTGCCATTTTTCTCATCTGGGATTACAATCTTCATTACACCTTCATCTGATACTACAGACAAATCCTGAAAAATAGGTATATGTTACTGATAAGGACTTTTAAAACAGTTATGAAGTTAATATTTTGTTACAGGTTGAAGCAACAGAAACAAAGGAAAAGTTGATGTTAAGTTCTTTTTACTCTTAGGCAGTACACTAGTATGCCAGAGATTATATTAGTAAGTATTAAAAGCAGAATCAAGCATAATAAAATAAAACAAAGAAAATGAAAATAAAGCAGAAATTAATATTAATAACTTAAAAACTTAAACATTAAAATCATTAAGTAAATATTAATAATTAAAAAGCAATCTATATGAAAAACCATCAAGCAAATAAAAAGAAAAAAAGAAAATAAAGAAAATCGCAATACCTGATGAGCATAATCTACCTGTTTAACAGAATCGAGACTGTTTCCAGGTGATGACTCTGGCGAAGGCGTGAAGTTTTTGAGAGCGTGAATGGCTGAGTGGAATGCCTGTAGGTAATACGAAGCTTCCCCTGAAGAGGCATTAGGAAGAAGGAGCGTCATGTACTCAGCCTCTACTTCGGCAGAGACGAGGCCAGACTGACTCAGGACCCACTTGATCATGGGGACAAGGTCATCAGCATCTCCAGACACACGTGCATCTCGGTTTTCATACATCTGGAAGGTTGGCAGACATGACTGGTTTGGAAATATTTATCTAAATATTTTACTAATTTCACTCAAGTCCTTTAACATGGCACACAAATATCAAGTCTAATCAAATGATTGTTTTGCAATCATTCTTTCTCTTCTGAAATATTTTCATCACTTCTTATAATCAATCTTACTGCATTTTGAAACAACCATTACTTACTGCTTGGTAAATATGTGATATTGTGGCTAACAAGTATTCCAACTTCTCTCTTGGTGCATACACTCTCTGCATCCTTGTCAACAAGCCACGGATAGTCTCAAGGGCTCTCCCGCAAGGTGGTGATAATTCAGGCTAGGGGATAAAATCATCAATAATAGAAAGGTCCACTTGATAAAAAATAATTAAGTATGATCTTCACATTGCAAATATTTGTCATATATGCATAAACCTAAAAAGAAAAAAAAAATATATATATATAAAACAAAGGGGAAAAAAAAGGCTTACCCTTATCCCGAGGCGAACGTAATGCTGTGACCTTGCATATTTCATATTTGTAGCCAGCAGCTGAATTGAGCCGTTTGCTGAATAAGTCTCAACAAACAGCTTGTTGATGTGATCCCACAGAGGCCGTAAAACTAGCCTTACTAACACGTCTTCCAATATGGCATCTAGATTCAGGAATTCTGTGGCTTTCAGCTGTTAAATGAAAATAATATATTCCTCTTTAACATATCCAAAATCAGTTTAATGAAATATCAGTGGAATCTATAACTTCAGCAAATCCATATGCACTCATCTTAAGGAACAATAACAACACATTAGTACATTCTCTTCCAACACACTTACATTACTTCGCTCCTTCTTAACAATGGCTTCGAATTCCTTCTCCCCACTTGTGACGAGGTAATTCTTCATGCCGGACATGAACTGGCGAACATTACGAGTCACCACAGTGGGATCACGTTCAGGGCTCTCGAGAGTGCAGGTGATGAAGTTACTGACTGCTCTGCTGAAGGTGGTTGAGGTGTCACTCCCAAGACCAATGGCATAATCCTTGATGGCTACCCCATTCTCGGCATCTTGACGGTGTCTCAAGGCAAGCAGCTGAGGCGACACTGGAACAATAGATTTGTAAGATTAGTGAAGTGAATGTGAGCGAGGAACAGGATTCTCAACATTGATTATCTTGCAATTCTGTAATATTTCTGAAATGTTTTATCTATGACTATTGTTGTCAATATTATATTCTTGTGAGCCAGGCCATTGTGATATAACATTATCTATCTATAGAGAAAAAAATGGCCTATGCAGATCCTCCTCTTTTCTATGAAAATAATATAATTAATAAATTAAACCAATTTACTTCAAAAGAAACAAAATAATATATCTTTTTCTTTTTCTTGTCTCCTCATTTAACTCCAAAGTCCAACACTTCCTGATTCCAGAAGAACATTATAACATACCACAGACTAAGAAAGGATGACACAGATACATTCCAGAACAAAAATGAATGAATAGGTAAGCAAATGGAAGAAGAAAAAGAGATTAATAACAAATAACATGAACTCTAAAACTGCAAAATGCAAAGGCAAATTTGTGGTAAGGAGTGCTATTCATTAGCATGTCAAAGCCATTCTCTTTTTGTGTTTCAAATTCAGGATGCAACACCTCCATTTCTCTTCAGACTGCAATTACAGTGATAGTTGAATAAAGAAAATCAAATATCTTATACCTTCTTGGAGAAACATGAATAATATAAAATATGATATCAAAATCTTAAGTCTTGGATTTCTAGTTAAAAAAATGTTATAGAAAGTCATCTTGAATAAACAGTTAGACTGAACTACTTGATTAAAAAATGAGCATGCAGTAATATATTACTTTTTCAGGTAGTTATAAAGAGGTAAAAATTGGTAAGGAAAAATGTGTTTTTATTAAAATAAATTTATTCTACTGTGGTGTTCATATCTAGATAAAATACCAAGGGATTAATACAAAGCATTAGAATCTTTTAACTGTTGTGTAAAATGTGAACACAGAACATGCATTAAAAATGTTGAAAATACGATCATCATGCAGTTTACAAACATAAGTCTTACAAAGTGAACAGTTGTTTACACAAAAGAATACAAACGTGCACAAAAATGATACTAACATGCAATGTGGAGAAAGGTAGATTTCAAAAGACAAAAAATTGATAGAAACGCATGCAATTCGGAAGTGAAGTGTGAAACATTAAAGCTTGAAGTGCTACAAACTAATAGATTAATGAGATTAACTGTGAAAAGTACACTAAAATAATGGTGTCAGGCAGATATATAAATAAGCTCTATAATCTTCTCTAAATAAATCTACTTCTATGCAAATGCAGTGCTACCTTCACCGACTCGAGATCAATATATTCTCAAAATGTGCTAAATTGTGTAACTGCCTCTTCTTCTAAAACTAATAAGAATCAATTGGATTAATGGAGATCATTTTATCACAATACACTAACAGCAATTATCACAGATGAAGGGACATTTACAGCAAGCCTAGCCAGTGTACAACGATTCATTTCATAATACTTCAAAAAATAAAACAAATTATCAGACTATTCTATGTTGGCCTACCGGATCCTAATGATATTACAGCAAATTATTAAACCATTTTCCAACTGTTCTACGGAAGTTCTTGGCCAAGCCAGTGCGAGGAGAGCTCATGCATCTTCTTGAAGAACTAGACTCACTTATTCTTGATCGTAGGTGAGTGTCCATGTTGTGGGCGTGGGCGAGGGAGAGGGTCGGCACTCCCGACACAGAGGTCGTGTCATCGTCGCTGATGACAGCTGGTTCTCCCGTGATGTGGACGATGGATTCTGTGTCTGTGATCCCCCCGCCACCGATGTCCGAGTCCTCTGGTGGTTGCAGCGCCGGCGTGCAGGTTGGACTGCGTGGGAACTGGTCGACCGAGGAGTCGTCTTCGGAGTGCATGATTGACTCCCACTTCCGGGAATCCCAAGGCTCGGAGAATTCGGTTCCCGAGTCGCTTACGGTCGAGGCGAAGTAGTGAGTCGGAAGAGGAGGCTGCAGCCGCTCTTCTGGAGGAATGCTACGGACAGGCCTGTGTTGCTGCTGCGGCTGTTGCTGAGAAAGGGGTTTCTGCTGCTGGTGGCGATCTTCACTCTTTGTACTGGCATGGCTTCCAACATTGTCGTATTCGCTGACGCGGGTTGTGTAGCTTGGGGCCAGAGACTGGTCATCTAATAATGTCAGATCGGGGAGTTTCTCTGATATCAGATCCTGCACGGTGCGTTCGCCTGGGATGATGACGCTGTCCGACTCCCCACCCGTGTCACCGACAGGGAATCGACCTTCGCCTCCTGGGGCGTCTTCGTCGTCGGAGCCCACGCCGAGGTATTCCCACGAGGAATCCACCCGCCAGGGCGCCTCAGGAGTGCGCTCGCCGTTGGGCGTCATGGCGTCCCTGCCGATTCTCGGCGGAGCGATGGGCTTCCCGCGGCCGCCTGCCCGGGAGTGGCGGCGGACGTCGTTGCGGGCCTGGCCGTTGATCAAGTGGCCTGCGTTCACCTCGTTCTTCTCCACCTCCAGGTTGCGGTTCTTCTCCACCTCTACGTTTTCGTTGACTGCCTCCAGGTTCTTCCCATTCTCCAAGTTCTCGATGCTGGAAGACAGGGGCAGATCTTCATTGGAGTCGATTTTGCTGAGCGAGTTGCGGCTCTTGCGAGACTTCCACTGGATGTTGGAGTCCGAGTATCTGTTCGTTATTTTTCTGGTGGACTTGTTGGAGGCCTTATTGATCCTCGCCTGCGGCTGCTGCTCCCGGAGCGCGTCGGCCGGCTCCATGTAGAACGGACTCGGGTTCTTGCGATAAGAATTCACGGAATCCGTGCTGGTGCCGTTCAGCTTCCCGTTGTCGTAAAAGCTCTCCTCCTCCTTCTTGTTCTCCGGATCGTACGGGAACGTCACCGGTTTTGTGTTTTTGGATATTTCGCTCAAATCACCCATGGACTTGGAAATTTCGTTCCGCGGCTTGAAGGTGGACATCTTGGGCTGCGCGGACGTCGGCGTGGGAGGCAGCTCGCGGGGCGGACTCGACCACAGGTCCTCGTAGTCGCTGATCTTGTCGGCGAGAGACGAGCGGCAGTACGGCGCGTTGTTCTCCACGATGTTGGCCTCATGGTAGTGGTTCGAGAGGCGGCGACGGTCGCGCCTTCCGCTGCGGAGGCGCACGCGCGGCATGCCCGGCGCCTCCTCGCCCAGGGGCGTGCTCGGGGCGCACGGCGTGCACGGCGTGCTCTGCGGCGAGGTGATCTGCTGGCGGATCTGCAGGTGCAGCGCGTCGCGGTGGCCGTTCAGGGTGCCGCTCTGGTTGCCGTTGGGCGACGTGGTGATGTACGGCTGCGAGGCGTTGCTGCCCGTCGGGGAGATCTCCAGGCTGGCCACGTGCACGCTCATGCCCTGCTGGCCGTCCTCCCCGATCTGCACCGGCAGCGCCTTCACCTGGTTCACGTTGAGGGTGAGCGTAGTCGTGACGGTGATGTTGGACGACGAGGTGGAGGTGATGCTCGGCCGCGCCCACCGGGGGGGCGGCACCGGCGCCTGACCCCCGCGCGGCGTCATGTCCCCGTTCTCGCTCGACGGCGTCCCAGCGTCGCCCATCATCGGCGGGCTGAGCCTGGTGGGCGGCGTGGGCTTGGCGGAGGGCCTGTAGGAGCCCGGGGGGCTGGCGTGGCCGTGGCGCTGCGTCCCGGGCGGGCTGGAGCGCGGCGGCGGCATCGGCTTCGTGCCCGGCGTGCCCGGCTTGAGCGGCGTCACGGGCGTGGCCGGCTGCGAGCGGAACGACGAGAGGCTGGGCTGCTCCTTGAGGATCTCCTCGAGCGGCGCCAGGTTGAGGTTGAGGGAGGAGCGGTCGCCGGGGGAGGGGACGGGGAGCGCCGGGCGCATGGGGGTCAGCGAGGAGGTGGAGCCGCCGATGGAGCCCGCCAGGGAGCCCGCGAGTGACGCGCCGCACAGCGCCTGCGCGTTGGGCGAGAGGAGGCTGGACGACGAGATCCCCCGCGTCACGCCGCCCTTACCGAAGCTGCTGAAGGAGAGGTCATGTGGGCGTGGCGAGGGCGTGGGCGCCACACTGCGAGGGGCGTCGGCGGTCGGGGTGTTGGCGGTTGGGCTGGCCATCGGCGTGTCCCAGAACTCTGTGCGGAAGACAGGCAGCTTTCAGTACGAGTCAAGCTTTCGATAAGGCTCTTCGATACTTAAAAAAAAAATAATGGCAGACATGGTTATTGCAATGATAATAATAATAATAACACCGATAATAATGTTATCAATGATAAAATAATGATGATGATGATGATAATAACAATAATAATAATAATAATAATGACAATAATAATAATAACAATAACAATCATAATCATAGTAATAGTAATAACAACGATAATAATAATAATAATAATAATAATAATAATAATAATAATAACGATAATAATAATTATTATGATAATAGTAATGATGATGATGATGATGATGATGATGATGATAATAACAATAACCATATCAATAAAAAATAACTGAATATGATCACAAAAAATAACGAAAAAAGAAAGAAAGAAAGAAAGAAAAAGAAAAGAAAATGATAAAGAAAAAAAAAGAAAGAAAAGAAAAAAATCAAACTGCCAAAGAGCCCCGCGTACTGACCTTGGCCCAGGAGCGCCAGGGATGCCAGCTCGTGCCGCGTCCTGGCCTCCTGCACGGCGCGCGGCAACTTCAGCTGGACTGGCAACTCGTCACTGAAACAGGCAACATGTCAACGATGCAAGAGGGGCGGGGAAAGGAAGAGATTACGGCTTGTCATGTGTCTTGTACCGCACTGCAATTTCTAGTATTATTTTAGTAAGACTGTATTTTCTTTTCTTTTTTGTTTATAGGGGAAAAACTGAATAGGGGTGTAACCTTGTATTGAGATAAAAAAATATATATAACAATACTGGAATAACTGTCTTCTCTCTCTCACTCTAACTCTCTAACTCACTCTCTCTCTCTCTCTCTCTCTCTCTCTCTCTCTCTCTCTCTCTCTCTCTCTCTCTCTCTCTCTCTCTCTCTCACACACACTCCCTTTCCCTTTCCCTCTCTCTCTCTCTCTCTCCCTCCCTCCCTCCCTTCCTCCCTCCCTCCCTCCCTCCTCTCCTCTCTCTCTCTCTCTCTCTCTCTCTCTCTCTCTCTCTCTCTCTCTCTCTCTCACACACTCCCTTTCCCTTTCCCTCTCTCCCTCCCTCCCTCCATCTCTCTCTCTCTCTCTCTCTCTCTCTCTCTCTCTCTCTCTCTCTCTCTCTCTCCCTCCCTCCATCTCTCTCTCTCTCTCTCTCTCTCTCTCTCTCTCTCTCTCTCTCTCTCTCTCTCTCTCTCTCTCTCTCTCTCACACACTCCCTTTCCCTTTCCCTCTCTCCCTCCCTCCATCTCTCTCTCTCTCTCTCTCTCTCTCTCTCCCTCCCTCCATCTCTCTCTCTCTCTCTCTCTCTCTCTCTCTCTCTCTCTCTCTCTCTCTCTCTCTCTCTCTCTCTCACTCCCCCTCTCTCCCTCGCTCCTTCCCCCCTCTCTCCCTCCCTCCTTCCCCCCTCTCTCCTTCCCCCTCTCTCTCCCTCCCCCTCCCCCTCTCTCCCTCTTTTTCCCTCCCTCCCTCTCCCTCCCCCTCTCTCCCTCTCCCTCCCTCTTTCTCCCCCACTTTCTTTCTTTCCCTCTCACATATACCCCTTTCTTCCCCATCCCTTCCCTCTCACCCCGATCCCCCACACCTTTCCCCTTCATCCCTCCCTCCCACCTACCCACCCACCCCACCCCCATCCCCTTCCCTCATTATCCTCACCAGCACTGCGAATAGTAGGCGATGAGGGCCGGCGGGGTATCGAACCGGTTCTCCGAGGCCTCGAGCGAATACGTGGCCTGGTTGTGGATCTCGATGAGGTAGTGCTGGATGTAGGGCCCCTTGTCCTGCGGGAGGCGCACGCTCAGCGCCAGGGTGTCTGGCTTGCTGCTCTGGCGGACGATGAAGTTCTGCGCGGGGGGAGGGGAGAGGGGAGAGAAGAGAAGGTTGGGTTAGTTTTGTGTGTTTGGTGGGGATGGTGATTAATAATAATGAAACGGTAGCAATAAAAATAATATCAACCACAATAATCATAACATTAATACTTCATAATCACCACTATCACTTACATTATAGCAGTGGGAAAAAAAAATCGGTACCAACAACCAGCTACCAACCACCGCCCTCACATCACCACAACCAAGCGGAGAAGGAGATGCCCCTCCTTCAGGCTACGTACCCCTTCGTCTTTGCCCTGCAGGAGGTGCACGGCCCCCGAGCGCTGGAGGTCAGGCAGGAACCAGATGGGGTACGTCTTGACCAGTCGCTCATCCAGCTGAATGTGGCACGGCTCGCACTCCGACCCATCCCCACTGCCAGT